AAGAGGTTCTTTGCAAACCACCATGAATGCTTTTAGGCATTATTAGTAATTAAAAGTTTGAATACGGACTTGCAACTTCCTAGTTTTGATTCAAGAGAAAACATGGTCGAGAATGTAAAATAAGATCGCTACGAAAGTATATAACCCCCGGAAGCTTTTGGGGCAAGTGGAGCACATTAATACCGCATGGAACGGCCGGTCTCTTCCCTAGCTACAATACGATTCGGGGATGGAACACCTTGTCCAATTAATCTTTCCATCCATATGGCCTCGAATACGTGATGTAGCCTTCGGGCGGAGTGTCTCAAATGGTCTGGATTGGATTGAGATTTGAATTGCATACATACAGACCAAATCAGCATCAGCTTCTGGTCAGACTAAAGTTGTAGATCGAAGCATGGTTCTGTTGTTATATGACCGTCGTAGGCCTATTCAAAGGAGTTAACAGAGGTAGATTGTGTTAGGAATTTTGAACGCCATGCAGAACGACGAGGTCCTGGGGAACATGTTATTTTCTGCCTAGACGCACGACCGACACCAGCGCCTCTCAGCCTTAGCCCCCAACAATAATAAGTGAGAGAGAATACCGCAGGGTCAGTGGGTATTTTATAATCACAATGCGATACGCACATATAAATGCGAAAATCGGGCGTACGAGAATGACGTGGTGACGCACCAATCAGGTCGCGTCCTTGACACTCGCATCGGACGACAGCTGTCTGGTTCACCATAGTCATCCAATCCGGATTCGATTAGCCTTTTGGGCATCGCGAACGCACTTGTGGTGTAACGTGGATCGATGCGCGGCCTGACGCGTTCTGTGTGCTCCGTTCTCACAGAACCACGACCACAAAATAGGCCTCTACTTAAAGCGCGGTGAATATCTTCGAATTTCCGTACGATTTATTCAATTATTCGATCGGAAACGTTTGATCCAATGAGAGATTCCAGTATGAGTGTTCAGTCAATACAAGCTCAAGCGCGTGCATTTTCTTACGTCATCATAAGCCTAGACACTCGCCCAGAATTGAACGCAGAAGAATGGTTCCGGGACAGGGCCTCTCAAAGTTCCGCCACGGGATGGCTATTCCACGAGATACTAAGTTGCTTCCCATGAATTAAATCTTACAACGATACTGTCCTACACCTTCAGACATATTTCTTGGTGATGCAAACCAAGCTCAAACTGCCTAATGTAATGGTACCCGGAAATGGGTATTGTGGTTGACAATGATGTGGAGCTATTACAAAACCTGGGGTTGGGGGTAGAAAACATTTTTCGACAGCTGTATTTGGTGATGACACAAAGCCTACCGTCAATAGATCAGGTCAATACCACCTAACCTTCACTTAAAACCTCTCCTAACTGATTTGATTTTACAATGATTTTAATTACACCAAAATTGTACAACGTAGTGCCTAAATACCGATATCTTAGCACTGACTAAGTGTACAGCTCTCAACGATCTTCACTGTGTGATAAAAATAACCCAAACCACCAACACCAGGACAAGGTATAGGATTTGCGTATGGACGAAAAATTAGATACTACATGGTAATGTGTATTATAACGGGCAGTGATAAATTAAAACACGAACGACCACAGTTTATCAGTTTTCATATGATTACCAAACTAAATGCCATTCAGATTGAAGTATGAATCAATTAAGCGTTTACACCAGCTGATTTGTATGTGAATTTCATCAGGTATCGAGTGGCACGGTTCCAGCTCAACGATCCCCCCTCGGCTCCCGGCGGAAGAGCTCATCCGTTTGTTATTACGCACTCAGTAATGAGCTATATCGACCGAACTGTGAGGCGACTATCAAAAAGGACGCGCTAATTGCACCAACACCAGATGAAACAGGGAGAACAAAAAGGCGTCATCCGCGGGCACAGCAGCACTGCGGCAAAAGCATTTTTTGCGCTACTTATCACATGCCCTTATCACTATGCCAAAACCCTTAGGTTATCGTCCCATGCACGCAGTCGAAGCGATCGATATCCAAACAGGAACTCTCCTCCCCTTGATAATTAGAAGCAGTTCGTTCAGACTTGTCATGACCACGAAATCTAGTAGTGCAACTCGGGCTGTGTATCTCTCAATGGCCTAGAAAAGATGGGATCGTGTAAAAGCAGCACACTAGTCTGATACGTCCAAAATCAGATTGAATATCAAAACTAACTTCTAGATAATTGTACCGGCCAAAAAAACAAGTTTAGAAAAAAAAATAGTTTTTTCTGTGGACCGTAAGTTTTGATAAAATGTTCCTTGATTTGTCATAGGATTTGGGGTGGGGGTGGGTGAATTAAACCAAATCGAATGATACTCAATAATTGGAAGATGATAAGCACGTGCCATTACACGGCGAAGTTTGTTGTTGTGAAGTCCAAAGGGGTGGACTTCAAAGACCCCAAGATCAGCGATGGGCCCCGCCACCACTAAAAGTACGAATTTGCTTTGCAACACTACACCTACGCTTATCACCACTATACTTTATATTAACAGTCAGTTTCCAGATTGCTGTGAAAAACTGTCCCATATAAGATTTTACTACCATATAGTATGAGCTTTTTCCAACTGGTCATCATGCTGATATAGAAGTTGAGGATCATTCATTCAAAAGACACGGAGTATTCATTCAACCATGCATTAGAACGCAGTTTTTGTTTGAAATCAGTTAGGTTACGTTGAGCCAAACGTGACAACCTTGAACTGACGATGTGATTAAAGCAGCCAGGAGTATATATGTAGCCAAGTACTAACCACTAATATCATAAAGTGCCAAGAACATAACACAATTAGAACCTACGGACACTGTTCGAATGATCCAGCATAGGGAGTAAATGTCCTGCACCGTGATGCCGCAGAATCGACTGTAGCGGTCGATAGACAGACCCATCCTCTAGTCGAGCCTTGACCACACCAACAGGAACTGGTTGTCCATCGTGTTGTGCACGAAGTGAGTGAATTTGAGAGGCATTCTGACGCAGATGTTGACCGTACATGGTGACCAACACGTCGCCTAACTCGATCCGTTGATCCTCGGCAGCCACACCGCCGGGGTCGAGCATTACAACCACTACGTGACCTTCCATTGTTTCAAGTCTGGCGCCCAGTTTACTGAGACAGAAGAGCAAAAACGGGTAGATCTGTGAGAAAATGTACAAATGACAAGATCGGTTGGACAGGTACAATTTAGGTATATCAGCCCGCGGGCTTGGCTGAATGTGAAACTGGCACACACACACACATCCAAGTGTACTTCGATCGATTCAATACATATTCCGTCACCGACACAGGTGCGCCTAGATGTTAAGCATTGTAGCCAATATGCCTTGCTCTACAGAAACATATTCTGATCACAGAAAATTACGAAGAATAAATAATATGGGCAGAATCGATTTTTGCTATCATTCCAAAACTACAAAACTAATCTGACTGTTATCAATTTTCCCGATCGCATAACTTAGACACGAAATTATCTTGCACCCCGATTTACTAGTCTCATTTGTCACTTCTCACAGATTACCTCTTCCACATACACTTTCTGTTTGTATTAGGTAATGATGTATTATTATCGTGTTTACAGCTGAAAGAGTGCACTTGAAATTGATGACCAAAATTGATTCTATCCACTTTTTTCAAATAGAACAAGGAGTGGCGAACAAGCTCGTTTTCAATGATTCGTAGTCATGCCAAATACATCACAATAAATATTACGCTGTTTATATATAAATCGGTA